CGCAGGCCTGTTCTGGCGCCGCATGCCAGCAGTGCACGAAGCAGGAATTTTAACGCCTGGCAAATATGATGTTCGTGTTCAGGGGGACATACCAACCCTCAAAACAGGTTTTCAGCACACGTGATTTTAGGTGTTCTGGCATCGACGCCTATGTCGAGTGCGCCAGGCAGTTTCGAGCTAAGCAGATGTGACAATCTTGCTCAGGGGACAAACTACTTTAGAAGAATAAGTTCCACCCAACTCCCATCTTATCATTAATCAATACCGCTATGGAAAAGTTGTGTTCTTCGGATTCTATTGAGAAACAGTCAATGAAATCAGAATCATCTCTATTGTGAATGTAGGACTATCAAAAAACCACCATTTTGAGCGACCATGGGCGGGGCAATCAACTGTTTGCAACCGCATGAAAATTGCGTTGAAGAAACAAATGTAGGCGCTGTTTTGCTTGGAGGGGGCATTTTGCATTTTCGCTATCTCCGTTCATGTCAACTAACAGGTCTCACTTTAGTCAGACCTGTAAACTCCTGTGAAGCTGCGACATTGTTCGAATGAGCCACTTTGATCACAGAAATTTACAGGTCTTCACAATGTGGCCTGACAAGCTTAGCTGAGTCCATTCCGTGCCCCCACCAAGCCGACCAGTGCTCAACTGTGTACAAGCAAAGAAAGATAGGTGCAAATAAACGGCTAGAAGTAAAACCTACAGGCTTCACTTTCTTTCCCAACACTGCGCACTGTTCTTGAGAAACACGTGCACGTAACGCATGGAATTGTTCCTCAAGGCTTTGCATCGCAGCCTGAAACGACAACAAGCAAATAAAAGAACAATATAGCCTCCCTGGAAAAATACTCAGCAGAATAGACCAGGCTGGATAACCATACTCGGCAGTGGTGATAAAGCAGCCGCCATATCAGGTGTGGCCTCTGGGCAAAAACCACCCAACTCCAAGAAAGAAGAAAAAAAACCGGCCATCAGAGTATACTATTAAGCTGTGAAACGGCGTGTACGGTACCCCCTCCCATCATCATCCCCACCCCCACAAAAGAATTCGTCTGGTACGACTCCACTTCACAGCCTACCTACATCTCCCTCGATTTCCAATTTACTCTTACAACTTTCCTAGTTTCCCGAAAATTTCAGGTTTTTCTCCAAAATGTTTCGTCCGCCAAAGGCCAATACGTTTCCCTACCTAACGAACGAGTGCGATTCCCTTGATCGGGTTCTCCCACCGATGCTGTTACTCTGCAAACGGCACGCCGTCTCCAAACACGACAGACCAGGCGAAGTTAGCACACTAGACCAAGAACCAGGGCTGCCCTTTGCTTTCGCACCGGCGCTCTGCTCGTCTAAAAGGCGACGCGAGGTTGTCATCAAGTACTCGCTATCTTTCTCTCAACACTGTCCGTTTATAGTTCCCTTTTTTTGGAGCTGGGTTCCAGTGGTCTCCATCCAGTGAAAGCGTTAGGTACGACGGTCGCGTTACAAGCACCGTTGTAGGTGATAAAGAAGCTATCACCAGCGTTGCAGGTAATAAAGTGGTATAGTCCAGTTCGCCGAGGACGAAGGGGTGTGTCAGGCAGGATGGATTTGGCGTGGTGCCAACCCACTCCTCTCCAGTTGTTGGAGCGAGCAAGGGACAAGATTGTAGCATATCGTTTATATCACTCATTTTCTACCATTTGTTGTCCCACAATGGCGGAGTGCGGTTTTGGCGCCGTGGCACGCTCATACTGCCTGACACGCCCCTTCATCCACAGCGAAGTAGAGTATAATTATAATAAACTTGTAGCCACATCCCCTGTACCCACCTCCGACATTGATTCATATAGAAACGACGAAAACCAGTATTCGAAGGCTGCATTGTAATTCGTTCTACACAATTCACAGAAACTACAGTTGCAACTGTCCGAGAGCTCATGCAAAGAACATATCGTCCTGAAAGCATAAAAAAATAGAGTTGGATACGAGCAATTGAAGTAAAAAAAATCCGAAATTCAAGGTTCTCACTCGGTCAGGGTAAGTTCATGAAATGAGTCAATAAGTTTGGAGGTGATTCTGCCCGGTGATCGACCTCGTGGAGGAGTTTTGCCAGATCTGAAGGTAGTGAAGTGAACAAGCGGATGAAACTGAAAATTGTCCGGAAAAACACCATCAATCACGTATTATCACGCAGGCATCAAGTTCTATAAAAAGGTGTACTTCCTGAACGACTTACTCCAATCGGAGCTCTTCAAAAGACTCCATGATAGAAGCAGCAATAGTTTTCTGCCCCACACGAGCTGGAGATCGACTTGGAGTTGAGGTACGAGGCCTTAACAGAAATAGCATATGCAGCACCATAGGAAACAACTGAATTACATCAAAACGAAAAACTCACATTGGTGAAGGGTATCTCAATAGCCAAATCATCTGAGAACGATACTTCTGAAGACTTCTTCATAGGGCAACCGAATAAGTTCTTCGAGGATTCATTCTGAAAAATGGAAGAATTACAAAAACAGAACTGCATAAAAAGGGTCAAGTTGGTTGGGGAAGCGGATTACGGCAGAAGGAACAAGCACGCCGTTCTGCAGCTCCCAGCGGCGCAGACCACTTTAT